TCTGGTTTGTAATGACACCTGGAATTTTCTTACTTTGTAAACTATATAGCTGTATAACTAATTTACGTAAAAATAACATATGTTTTCAAGAAAAATGATTTCTCTCTGGCTGATCCTACACTACATAGCAACGGGTTTTGTTTGCAAAATAGAGATTGCACCTTTATTTTTGTTGTTCACAAGGCTCCTGCTACTCCCAAGGTTTTCAGGACTTCCACAGGGCAGCCTACAGTGCTTCTTCCCCGCTCCTGGGTCAGTTATTTCACTTATCATGGGTTCTTTGATTAAAAATTCTGCTGATCAACCACTTGGTCATTTCCCCCAGCCTAATTCTAAAAATAAATGACTCTCTACTGATTAAACGCAGTTATCTCTACAGTGGTCATGCAGGCCCAGAGTAATGACACATTATTAACTACAAGCCTGGTGCACAAAATTTGTGCATGGGGTGGGGGCTGTCCCTCAGCCCAGCCTGCACCCTCTTGCAATCCGGGTGATTTGTGAGACCCCTCGGGGGATGTCCGACTGCCGTTTTAGGCCCAATCCCACAGTGGGACCGGGCCTAAACTGGCAGTGAGACATCCCTCTCGCAATCCGGGACCGCTGGCTCCTAACTGCTCGCCTGCCTGCCTGCCTGATTGCCCCTAACTGCTCGTCTGCCTGTCTGATCACCCCTACCCGCCTCTGCCTTGGCCCCTGCCACGGCGGCTTCATCCGGAAGGATGTCTGGAATGACGTCCAGAAGGTTGTTTAGCTGTCCAGTCTAATTAACATATTATACTTTTATTATATATTAGTGTTTCTTTCTACAGTACAGCATATAGCCAAATGAAATTTTAGTCATATTAGTATTTGAGATGGCGGCATTGTTAGTTTTTACCTTTTAAAAGATTCAAATATTTGTATCTGATTTTGAAGATGAACTTAAGTCCAAAAAAAGTGCTAAAATGTGATCTCCAAAGGTGGTGGTGGGGGGGGCGGACTCTCTAGCTCTATGATGTTTAATATGGCATTTTCAAAGACAGAAACACAGTCCATAGCATCTTCACACTTGAGTGAGCACCCATCAGAGCCACCCGCCAGCAGCGTGAGGGCCTGACTCCCCATTTCACAGAAGAGGAAGGGCCGCCTCAGAGCAGGTAAGTGACCGCCCAGGCCAAGCAGCTGCTGAGTGGAAAGGACACGGCAAGTCCAGGGCACCTGCCTCTTACCCCGGGTCCTTCCCCAGGACACGGCTGGCCTTCCAGTGGAAGTGAGGATCATCATGTATACAGACCACCAGCCACTGTAATAACCCTTCCCCTTCACTGTGCGCCACGCACCTGGCGCTGTGCCAGCACGTTCCTGTGTTCGCTCATTCAATCTTCCCAGCATCCCTAAGATGGGGGTGTCCCTACGCCCCCCCCCCTTTACCTGAGGAACCTGAGGTTTAGTAGCAGCCCAAGCTCCCTCTCCAGTGAAGACCTGAGCCTGGACAAAGGCTCTGGACATCAAACCCCACTGAACCCAGTTAACCCATTAACTGCTTATGGCAGAGTAATGGCGATGAGCTAAAGGGAAAAGATCCCCAGAGAGAGCCGTGTCATCAAGCAGCTCTCTCTCCTGGGGGGTAGGGAATTTCAGGGAGAGGGGGAGAAATTGTTCTGCATTTCTGACATCTGCCAAGTCACGGTTAGAAATACACTTTAGAGTAGGAATGGTATCCTTTGTCCCCTGTAAAATACACAGGTCAGCCAAGCAAACTCCCACCCCTAAATTCAAGTTTAGACGAAAAGGAGCAGAGACTGGGTACATGGGCGAGGCTTTTGTAATGAAAAGCTAATCCGCAGCAACAGGCTGTAGTCCAACCCCTCGGAAGCCCCCAGGCCCACCAGGGCACAGTTGCCCACCCTGCTGCCTGGGCTCAGCCACCCCTTGTGCGGCTGAGGGGCCCCTGGCTGAGATCTGCCCTAATCTGGAATGACAGGTCCCCTGGGCCGGGAACCCCAGGCCATGTGCTCAGGGACACCCTCCCCCCCTCCTCCCCCCACCCTCACTGAGACCTTCAGAGCAGATCTTGAGGGTTGGGGGACACCCCCACCCCAGCTAGCCCTGGGAAATCTCCAACTCCTAGCTCCCCAGCTGAGCCTGGGGTTCCGGAGGCCAGAGCAGCCCTGCGTCTGCAGGAACCCGCAGGAGCCCGCAGGAGCCCGCAGGAACCCGCAGGAGCCCGCAGGGGCCCGCAGGAACCCGCAGGAGCCCGCAGGGGCCCGCAGGGGCCCGCAGGGGCCCGCAGGAGCCCGCAGGAGCCGGGAACGCTGGAGACAAGAAGCAGATGCGGGCTGCTCCGCCGGCCAGGCGTGGCCAGTCCGCAGCCTAGGAGACAAGCACCCTTTTTCATAATCAGCGCAGCCGGCGCGCCCCGCCTGGCTGGCTGGCAGGGATTCTGCGCAGACCGCCTGGAGTTCGAAAGCTCAAAACTTGGCCACGCACCCCCACTGTCAACACCCCCCCTCCTCCTCGCGCTAAAGCGTGTGCTCCCTACGAGGCTGAGTGGCCAACTTGGGAAGGGCGGTGGCCGCTGCGCCATCCTCCAGGGCCCCTCCACCCACTCTCATCGGCTGCTGACACCTCCCGGCTCCCACGGCCAGCGCCCAGGTGCCCGGCCGACTGTGCCCAGTCGGGGGCTAGCCCTGCACCTGGCTCAGCCCTGGCCCCCTCGGCCGCTGGGCGTGAGGTCGTGGGAAGCTTTGCAGGGGTTGCACCACTTACAATCCAGGCGCGAGTGGGAGCAGAGGCAGGATCCCTCCAGCTCTGTGCACCCCAAACCTGACACCAGTCGGAGGGAACTGCGTTTGGCTGCCCTCTCGGCCCGCCCTTCCCGGCCGTCTACTGGGCAGTGAAATGGGCCACGAGGGCGCGCTCATGAGTATGTATCCGCGACCACCCGCTTCCCCTCCCGCTCACTATAGCCGGACCTTAGTCAACCCCCACCCCCAGACCCGCGGGGAGAACTTGGGAAGCCCGTGGAAACGGGGCGTCCGCGCCCGCTTCTCCAGCGCGCGCTCCGGCCAGTCGCCCTCCCAGCGCAGGCGACCGATGCCGCGCACGCCGGGGAGCGACCGCCAGTGCAGCGCGGCAGGCGTTTTTGGTGGAAACCACACACGTCCGTTTATAAGAGGCTGGAGGGGCCGCGGAAGGACTGAGGGGGGCGGTCAATGAGCCTTTAAGAGAAAGGCGGGGTCTGCGGAGGGAGCCGCCGAGGGGACCCGAGACCCGAGCGGGGAGCCGAGGGGCGGCGCGGCTGAAGCGAGTCCGCGCGCGCTCCCGCACCCAGAGGGGCGCACGTCGGGAAAGGGCTGGGCAAGTCCTTCGGGCCTCCCAATACTTTCATGTCCCAGGTGGAGCCTGGCACCCACCCGCCAGTGCGGCCCCAAATCGCTCGCCAGGTGCGGGCGAAGGGAGAAAAAAGCCCAGGTGGCTCCCCCAACACCTGTCAGGGGCTGCGGCTCAGACGCCCCTCCCCCAGACCCCATCCCATCCGCGGGCTTTCTACCTACACCCGCGACAGACCAAGGGTCGTGGCAACCAGACACCGCGCCGCGCCCTCCCCGAGTCCTTCGTGCCGCAGAGAAAGCGCACGGAGGTGCCGGGGGAGCCGGGGAGAGCGGCCGGACTGCCGCGGGGCCCGCGCCCCTCCCGCTCACCTCGCTCACTGGCCTGGATGTAGCGCACGATGTCCTCCAGGTCCAAGTCCTTGGCCTCGTCGAAGCTGTAGGCGGACGTGTGCAGACCCTCCTCCTGGAAGACCTCGTGGACCCCCTCCAGGGTGAAGAAGCAGTTGCGCTCCAGCTTGTCGTCGCTGTAAAGCAGCGCGGCGCGGCTCCACTGGTGGTGGCGGAACAGGGCGAGCATCATCTCGCCCATCTTGGCGTAGGCGGGCGACACGCGCGTGAGGTGCGAGTACTCCGTGTCCTTGTGCTGGAAGCCGGCGGCCAGGGCGCCCGCCGACAGCATGGGCAGGTCCCAGTGCGACGCCAGCCGGGCCACGGGCGCCGCCGCGTACTCGCACACGGGTCCGAGGATGAGGTCGGGCTTGGCGCCCCGCGCCGCCGCCACGCGGTCCACCAGGCTGAAGAGCGCGCGGTTGCCGCAGTCCGAGTCCTCGTAGGCCACCTGGAAGCGAGTGCCGGGCGGCAGCAGCCGCGGTCCGGTCCCGTTGCCCTCCACGCTGCGCAGCGCGTACTCGATGGCCGGCCGCACCCGGGCCAAGGAGAACAGGTAGGAGTCGTCCCGGGGCAGCAGCACCAGCACCTCGATCTTCTGCGGTGGCGGCGGCGTCTCTCTCCCCCTGCGCCCGCCGCCGCCGCCCGCGCTGCCGGCCAGCACCGCCCAGCCGAGCAGGGCGCACGCGGAGAGAGCCAGCGCCCGCAGGGACGGCATGGTGCCGCAGGATAGCGCCCGCCCCGCACCGCCCGCTCGCCCTCGGCCCCCCCGCCCACCCTTGCTCGGTCCTCCCCCACTCTTCTCCGCCGC